TTTGCAAGAACCGTGTGATGGGCGCGAAAATAGCACTGGGCCAACGCGCGTTTATAATAAAATATACGCCGACAAATGGTTTTTTTTTTTTTTTTTTTTAGGCGTAATACTCGAAAACCGAGCGCGCGTTTCTTCTGGCCAACACCGTTATTACCGTTCGTGTTCATCATGTTTTCCTCCCGACCCGTTGACGAGCGCGCGCGCGCGCATATTATAATTTAGACACACGTACGTAAACGACTATCGGCTGTTAACTCGTTAAAAACCATTACCCGTTTCGTTCGTCGGTTAACGTTGTTTCCCCTCCTCCCTTCCGTAGATCGCGAAACGGGCCGTAACAATGTGATCACGTACGTATTGTGCACACGAACGGGTAAGCCATCACGTGTGCATAATAAACAGATGCGCGCGTTACACTACCCCGCACAGGTGCACGCGCAATGTATACGAGCGCACGGGATTAGAAACGGTTCGTACGAGATCTTGTGACGGCGAACAGGTGGTTGAGCCGTTTAAAAGTCATTATTTCATCCGAAAACGTTGTGCCGACCGACCGCGTAATTGCACTCCGCGACATCGAGTAGGTCGCGGAGATTTCAACGCCCGTAACGCGGACGGTACGCGGTCACCGTTCGACGCGGCGTGTACGTGCGAGGCGTGAAAAACACTAAAAAAAAAAAAAAAAACGATACCCGATTCGTTACCGACGACGGCGTTATTATTGTTTTATCGTTTCTTGCGATCGGTTTACGAATGTGCCGTGGCCGATAGAAATCACATGTTTTCCATGTTACTTCGATGTTTCGAAACAATGAACAATATGTTCGATACTACTGGGGGAATACCTCTGCGCACCCTTCGCGTGCATGGTCGTGTACAAAAAAAATTAGATCGATTGTATGTACACATTTTGTCTTTTAGGCCGAAAAGACAATGCTCGCGGCAATTATACGCGCGTTACGACACTATAATTGCGCGGACCGTGCGGCACGCACGTATTCGACACCGGTGGCTTTGACGCACTCGTCAGATGACAATTGACGACGATCGTTTGCATGGGGTAATTCGACGAGGAGAAAAAAAAAAAAATTAAACATATTATGTTTCGATCACCATCGTTCGCGCTGATGGCTTATTGTTTTCGGGAAAACAGTAGAGAAAAAAATCGATAACGGACGAAACCGGAAACATTTAGAATAAAAAATGCGAAAAAAAACCCACTTGACATTGTGGTATTGATCAGAAAACGATCTGTCGCGAACCGGAAACGTAGAATATTAACGATAGAATGACAAAAAAAAAAAAAAAAAAAAAAAACTCAATCAAAAGAATCACGTTCGAATCCTACCCAATTTCGTAGCAATATAGTTTTTCGATTTCTGGATGGACGATTCGTAAGGAAAAAAAAAACAAAAACCACCAGTATAGATGTACGGGAAGAAAGAAAAAAAAAGGCTGAAACAGCAGTGATTGAACGTAGTGTCGACGAATTCAGTAGTGAGCGAATATATATATATTTATATATATATATATATATATATACACGTATATATATATATAATATACGTATTTATTTCCTAAATGGACAATCAGATGATTTGTGAAGCGGAAACGACTTGACATTAAACGAACCCGATAGACACGTCTCGGACCAGGGTGAATGCACTAGTTTCGCACTGATCGAGTAGTGCGTGTACAGATACGTATCTGTTCTTATTAGACGTGCGCTCGCCGACGTTGGTATCACACACGTAATGTACATAATACACGTCCGTCGACCTTCCGCGCACGCACGTCTAGTCGCACGGTCGACCACCTGAGAACCGTGTACCGGACCAACGGTCACAACCCTTCTTCTTTTCGGTTGCTAACCATTGCGATGCGTTTAAGACTTGTGCGAAATAACGTGTGCGCGGAACTCACGTCTACGGACGGGGCTAGGGTCGGATTTTTTTATTTTTTTTGAACACCCGCAACGGTTTAAACTGTAATTTTTAGCGAATTTTTTTTTTTTTTTTGTCACTCATCGTCAAAGCATTCTAAAGCATAAACTGTAAATATACCCGTCCGTGGTCGATAATCATCGGTATTAGTTGCACATCGTAGATTTTAATTTTTTTTTCTACCTATTTTATTTCGGTATTATATTGTTATGTATATACACAGGTAGTGACTTCAAACAGAATATTTGTGGAACGGTTTTTAATTAAAAAAAAAAAAAAAAATACATTTAACCTGTAAAAATTCACTTATCATTCAGCGAGTATAAGTTTTATTTTTTATCCTCGTCGCCCTACATGGACTTTCACCCGACTGTAAACACACTTAATTAACGAGTCTTGGGCATAATACGACCCGTTTTCATTTTGGTAATAATGTGTTAGAGATGTATTTATATATTTTTCGATCTGAAAACGTGTTGAAATGCACGAGCTACCTGACCATGAGAAATTCATACACGTTTACCTCTAAAACGCGTCAGTCGAACGCTTTGTCATCAAACTATTTTACTGTACCAAAGACAGTTTTCCTACTAGACCATATGGGCACATTTTCGTATAATTTACCGTTACATAGTACACTATGATAGGTGTAATACCTAATATAATATATTTTGCGAGTAATGTGGGACAGGATGTACTTTTTTTTCATGTGTTCACCTTATCGGAAGGATGACGTCTACATTAAAACCATTTAGATGACGGTTTATATTTGAAAAGCATCACGGATTAATATGTGCGCGTGATATTTTTATTTTTCTAAATATTATAAATCATAAGAAACGCGAACGAAATTGATTGATTTTGACCGTCGAACATTATCGGTGAATACGAAAGAATTAACCGTTCGACGGGTAAGTAAAAAAAAAAATAAACCATAATTAAACGATGCTGGCACGAAATGCGAACGAAACGGTACGCAACGGTTTATTAAAAATAATATCAAAATAAACACGTCTTAACACGTATTATCATGATTATCGCATCACGAACGATGACGAGAAGCGAACGTTCGAAACGGCCGTGGGTCTACGCTAGGGGTCGGCAAGTAAATGATATTGGAGTCCTGAGGATTAAAATAATAAAACTATGAGGTCCACTGAAAACCATCTTTTTCAAATCTTTATATTTTAAAAATAGCAGTATGAAGATGAATATAATTATTTGGTTATTACAATTAATTTATATTAAAAATTACAATATTAGGAGTATGAAAATAAAAGTTGACAGGGTCCAGAGTATTGCCTTCCACGATCCGGATCCGGACCGCGGTCAACCAGTTGCCGACCTCTGATCTACGAGTATCGACGTGCGTTATGCTATTGTTACGAGGTGAACGTTTTTCTCGTCGGAACGGGACGACTACAGGGTTTTTTTTTTTTTGAACAATATCACGATTCTTCGGAGACTTCGTGCGGTAAGAACACGACCGAATGCGAGTCCACGAACGTACACACTCGTACGTCGGAAAACGCAGCGAAACGCGATGATATTTCGATTACCGAACGAGCTTACGCATAATCTAATTCGCGTGCCTACACCGAGATTACGGCACACAGGTACTTCGTGCACTCTAGTAAGCAATGTCCGGCTTTCTCTGGGCTACGATGATCATCGGTGCATCTCAACCGTGTGTTCACGCAATTGTAACACACACGCATGTAACGTGCACCCCGACCGTGCGACGTGTTTTTTGCGTAACATCCGACAGTTTTTTAAACGATAAAAAACCATCACAAGTGTATTATATGTGTATGTACATTTTTTACAGTAGGCATTTTATTTGATAGCGTCGAGCGACTTTTGTGCAAAACCCTTTGACGTAAATCATTATGAAAACGTGTACTATTAAATTAAGATTTATTAAGTTTTTCCGTGGTATTCGGACAACGTTTTTATTTCTTCCCTCCGCTCGTGGACTTAAACCTATGAAAACCATGATACCGTTTCAGAAGTACGTTATCCGCAGAAGATACGATTTTAAAAAGAAAAATCGAATACGTCCACACGCTACCCATTAAGCGATCGCTGAACACGAATCGCTTTTGAACGAGAATACCGTTCTTACGTCTCATTTATAACGCACGCAAAAAAATTACACGTGCATATTATTATGTCGCATTTCAGTGGTCATTGTATTTATATTATTTTTCAAGCACATTAGCCCGACTATAACAATACGCAATACGATAACATCCGAATACGAACGGGCTGGACCGTTATTTCCGTTCGAATTGGAAGTTTCGCATAACACGTGATGAAAACACACGGGATGGTGTAACACAGTCGCGACTTTTCGCGTAGACAGCGGCTGTTTGGCCTCTTTCCGTCGCGTTTCGAACGCGATCTACTTGATACCCAAACCGAAACGGTACACATAATACAATAAATGATAAACGATCAATCGGCCGAACCAATAAAGACGTCCTCGGGAGAGGCCATTCAGAAGTGCAATATATATTAACGAAACAATAAGATGTACAATATAGATATGTCTTCGTCGACGACGGTGACGACGACTTCCCCTCCGCGTGCCCCGGTCGGATAAATAAGTGGTGCATCCGTTCCGGAGTAATTACTCACGGAGTCTTGTATACAGATCGACCGTATACAATTTCTGGCGTGAAAAATAGAAAGAAAAAAGAGTAAAATTATATATATCCATAAAATCCTAGAAAGAATAGAAGAAGAAAAAAGGTTTTTCAATTTTATACCTAGGTATATACAACTACGGGTATCTAAATATCGCAATGAGACCTGTATAAAACCGTACGGCGGTAATTTGCGACGGTGCTCGGGACGCGTTATCGTGCATTTATAATGAACACAGTTTACCCATCCATTATCGTAATGATGTCATATTTTACGGTTTATGCCAACAGTCGCGACGTACATAAGTGTGAAACCACTACTACTACTACTACTACTACTACTACTACTACTACTACTACCTACTACTACTGCGGCTACGTGTCGCACGAAAACGGGTTTTACACTTACTTGGAGAGTATCATTATGGCTCTTCGGGGGTTGGTAGATTGTTGCGACGTCCGCGTTGAACGATCGACCGCGGAATCGGCAAAAGCGTTTTCTAACGACCCGTTGTTGTTGGATTTTTTCTCGCTCTCTCGGCCTTTCGAGACTTTTCCAAATGTCTGGCGACAACGACGACGGCTAGAGAGACGGCTGGACAAACCGCAACACTCGAACTGTAGTTCGGTTGCTCTGGGCGATGTCGGACTGCAGCGGACTGTTCTGACTCGGTGGGTTGCCTGGGCACCTGGAGGGACGGGCGAACGCGCGAATTCGACGGACGGAACGACGGACCCGGGAGACTGTACGTGCAAGGGACACTGGGACCAGGTCGGAGAGGGCAACACGTTCGTGCGGTGTGGCTGGTGCCGGTGGACTGATGTCTGGCGGGTTCGCAAGCGCGTCTTCGGGTATGGTGCACGGCCGGGAGGATAGTGGCAGAAGACCGAAGAAGAGCGGTCGGGAAAAACTGGTGTGTGCAAAGTGTTCGGTGGCGGTGGAAGAACGGCGCGAAAGAATGGGCGAACGCGCGTATCGCGTACTACGGTTTTTCCCACTTTTTTTTGGCAAACGCTCCGCTGCGGTCTCGGCCAATGAGCACGCGGGGGCCACCGGGTCTTCGCCGCGCGTTTTCCCGCACCGTTCGGTGGGGGCACTGCTGTGCACGCGCCGCTGCTGCTGTTGCTGCTGCTGCAACATCACGTCTCGGGTCGCAGTTTTTTTTTTTTTTTTAATTCTTTCCCATTTCCATTTCCTAAGCCTTCCGCTTGTTCTCCTGTTCCTGTTCCCTCCTCTCACTGTCTCTCCGGCTCTCCGCGGAGTTTTCGCACGCGTCGTTTAATCACGTCGACCGTCGGCTCTTATCGGAATCGTCGAACACGGCCAGGGCGAAACGTTAAGCGATCGAACGGGAGCAGGGCGAGAGGAAAACAAAAATTTAAAAGAAAAAATACACGTTGCGCTCGCGTGTACGTTCGATATCACTTAATTTCGCCCATACTTCGCCCACTCGCATAGCGCACGGATGCCTTACGAAGACCGCGGCCGAGTTCCATCGGAGGCCGGAGGCGTTGCAACGTAGGAACAATGTGTGTTTAGCGCCGGGATTCGCCGCCCGTTCTATCCTGACCGTCGATTCTTGAATCTCGTCAAGAAAATCTCGCGTTATACGTTTTCACACGACATCTGAAACACCTGTTCTTGAACCACTCGCGACGTCACATCGTAGGACGACATTTTTTGTCGTATACCAAATGTTTTTTCACCAAGTTGATGGTCACTAATGTCGACCATACCTAAATCGTGATTAATGCTCGTTATAAAAACGCTGGTTCCCCTACCTGGTTTGTGGTCGACCCGTTACCCATTTTAATGAGGGTTAGACGTTGAATACTACGTCAGTTATAGGCGGTTTGCGGACAATAGTCGGTTTTCGATTGATAAAGTTCATCATGGAAGATAATCAAAAAATGTACCGCGTCGTTTTTGTGTTCACGTCCACGTAATGTCTTTGATATATTTCTTGTAGACGAATTCCGTAAACGGGATTCTGCCTTGTTGTCAGGAAAACTGACGTTCACACTCGAAATATACAGTTTAGAATCAAAAATCTATCGAATAGAAGATAATATAAATAAGAAAATTAAACAGGTGTAATACAGTTGCTTAAAATAATTTTGATTAAAAGAATTATTTTATAAAACTTAATATGTACATCAGTAGTAACTTTAATGAGCGGTAATCTTTTCTGTTAACATAAACATACTTTGGTACAACTGTATTTTGATTTCTAGAAGGTACAATGAAATATGTGTGTGTGCAATTAATACAACCTAAAACTCCCAAAAATTAATTATTTTAAAAAAAAACTATAAAAAAAAATGGTTTTTTGTATAGTTGGTTTTTTCTTTATTTCTGTTTGTTAATCTTCAGTTATGGGGCAATTGAGTACAGACTTGTACAACTATTTACAAATTTTACATAATAATTAAAATTATAAAAATCCTTCATTTGACAGTCACGACAAATGTATACTAAATTGATAACTGTTTTAGTTTTAGGAGTTATTGTATAGTATGTATTACTCATTCCTAATTTCCGTTGTTTCTTGCATATTACAGGGGAACTCAATTAATATTCCCGGTTGGTTCAATGCCTCAACCACACATGGCTCTAGAAACTTTAAGTTGGGGTACGGCCATATATCTATTATTACCAATTGATGTTTGATAACATCCAGTAGCAAAAAAGCGTTGTGCTAAATATACCTGCGTCCGTTATTATATATTTAACTTACACCTATTATTTAGATAAATAGATATTTTATTTATTACCTTTTCGAAGATTGTTAATAGAAGACCTTCTCTCTTGTTCAATCTGTATAGTGTAACCAAAGCTATTAGTTGTCGAACAAATATTTGGTCAATCGATAATTTATCAAAAACAATCGATCACATAGTGTAAATAGATCATACCTAACTGAAAACTTATTTCTTGGGTTATTTGCAGCCAATTCATGAACACCGATCGTGTTAAAGGTATATATAGCCGCGAGGGAATTAAAATCGTGTTGCTAAAAATGTACACACTAGTGCTTATAAATTAAATATAATAATTAAAAATCATAAAAAAAAAAAAAAACTTTCTAATAAAAAAATTGATTACAAAATCGTTTGGGATTCGAGAACACATAAAATTGAATTTTACATGACAAACTTAATTTCTCGTATCAAACAATGCGTATACGCAGTTCAAGAGTCGACCCCCTGCGGACGACATCGTGCACGTATCGGATGGTCGAGCGGCCGTTTAATGTACCTCGACGGTGAAAGGCTCTGAGAAAACGGAAATAATAACCGACTGTACTGCTGTTGGCATTTTGTCAACCCCAAAGACTTAGATGTTCGGACAACCATTGAAGTCCCTTATCGGTCTTGTACAGTCATGTACATAATCGGTTGACATAGGTTAGGCGTCGACCACGAAACAAAAGCCGCGTTTGGTCAACGACTTGTTCCGTATGAATATAGAACAACACGCATTTTATACGTGTGACAGTTTTAGACAGGCAACGTAATAACTTTGTTGGCCTTGCGAATAATAAAACGATCGATGAAAGATATTTATTTACTTAGCAATAATAATTTTTTACCAACTCGTCGTATACATATCATGCAGCAACTTATCAAGTTTACATCAAAAGGAAAAACCCCGATCGTTAAATATTTAAAACGAAACATTACATTATTAGATAGTGTAGAAGAAACGTGGAAAATAGTTCTGTTGAATCGAGTTTAGTTCAAATAAAAACTAAAAGCTTACCATCGCTATAAGAACTGGTAGCAACTACAAGTTTTAAGACGGGTGCAATAATCATGGCTACTACATTGATACTTGTAAAATATAAATAACAGAGCGTAGTATTAAAATTATTTACAACTGAAATTAATTTTCCTAACACTTAAGTGAAAACTTAAAACATATCTCTTACCAAAGGTGTTGGATTATCATAAAATATAGTAGTGAACTAAACCAAGAAATCATGTTTAAAGATGAAATGTATGATTAAAATTTACCTACAACTCACGTAATATACATGCAACCAACTGTATATCATAATACAAATTAAAATATTCTTTGAAGTGGGAGGTTTTCAACCGAGGGAAAATTAAGACTGTCAGTAAAAAGTTCTCGGGAGAGGTACGGAGACACAAAAAGATTAATGCCTTCAAAAAAACGGCAAAATGGTAATAATTTAAAACAAAAGGGGTTTGTTTTTTTTTTTGTATTATTGTTATAGAGCCTTTGATCATTCCTGAGATTTAACAATTAAACTGTCTCTATTTTAGCATTCCATTGCGTAAATGAAAATGCTTTTTCCGTACTAAAGAATTTAATCGTAATGTTTCTACTTTCTGGAAAAAAATAAAATTTATTTTTGTAAAATATGAAAACGCAGAATATTAAAGATAAAAGTAACTATAGAATAATAAGTACAATATCCGATGAATAGGCAAAAAATGGAAAATCGTAACTGAAATTTGGGATTAAAGGGACAAAATATATATGATTTTCTCCCAAAATTGTTACGCAAATTATTATTTATTTTTTAAATAAAACTTATTTCGTTTAAATAATTCGTTTAAAATTGTGTTATCAGAAAAGGTATATTAATATTTTTCAGTCAAATTTGAGTTTAAAAAATTGTTTCTTAAAAATAATATTAGTATTCTAAAAAATATAATACCTATCTCTAAATCAAATCAATTAATGACAGAATGGTTCGCAATTTCAGAACATTTTATAACTCATCATTTAACTCGACTAGATATTCATCGGAGTCAATTTTAACCACAAAAATGTTTAAAAATCATAAAGATAGAAATTGTAAAATTAAATGTTCAACGGTCTTAATACTATTATTATAAAAATAATTTTATAAAGAGATAAAATTTCATCGTTCATATTTGAAAAAATATATATTCCCCCATCATATACACTTAAATGGATGAAAGTGGAAAATCAAATTATAGGTTTGGACATACCAACGTAAACCTGTGTATAGAACTGGAGCATTACATTTCAATCAATCTGCAATCTTGCACAAGAATACTTGGTAAATTCTCAACGCAGTAGATAAATATAATAAAACTTGAAAATATTTAAATCAGCAAAATGATACTAATTTATAATTTAAAAACATTATGAATAGTATAAAACTGATTTTGTTTTTTCTTAATTTCTGAATTTTTAATTTATGTTAACAAATCGTTTGATGCGGTCACCTCCATCACACAATTTTATTATAGAACTCGGTAATCTAAGGTATTCAAAAAACGCAAAATATATAAAATATAGAAAAACACGTAGATACGATTTCATATTTGTTGTGGGCCACCATTTGTTACGTAGACCTAACGATGTGGTTTTGTCATCTATACCGTTCGGTTCATGCGCCAGTTATTGTTCGGACACCGTATAAAATTCCAATCAGGTCATCGGAAATGTATACATGTTCGTTAAAAGTACGTTCGATGAACAACCGTCTTCACGATCGTCATTTAAATATTTCATCGAATTCATCAGTAATCCCTCATTTAACGTAAACCCGGCACTTAGCATGTGCTGCTTACACGCGTTAGATTCAAACAATTACACGTTAAAATGATATTTTTACAAACGTGTTGACTATAACTATAATTTACTGCGAGCGTAGAGTTCAAACAAGTTTTTCGAATATTCTAGTTTTTAAAATAAATTATTATTATTATTATTATTATTCAAATTAATTTTAATATACATGTTTTACAGCGAGAAGAAATATATACTTTCGATAAACTCTTGTTCCGCCGCTATACACTTTATATATAAAATGTACGATTTTAACACAATATAAAAATAAAAAATTAAAATGTGTTTAATACAATAGTTATAACATTATATAACACGCATGAATGATAAAATGAATTCGTAAGTGTTCACGGTAAAAAAATTTTTTT